TAGGGGGCTCGGGAGGTGCCCAGGCAGCCGCGTGGTGCCGGTGGCTGGAAGGGAGAGGCGGCTGGGCTGTGCTGACCCCTCCATCTGCTGCCACGTGCATCACCGGGGGGTCTCACCAATGACAAACCTCTCACCGCTTCAACCAAGGATCTGCTTCTTGGGCCACATGATGCAGGGGGGCATGGAGGTGTCGGATCACTTGTCAGGGAAAGCAGCCCCGTGACAGGTGGCGTTTAGGGTGCCAGCAGCTAACAGGGATGCTCTGACCCCACGGCCACAGCTTCCCTCCCACTCACTCGAAACGGCCAGTGCTGAGCCAGCACCTCGGGGTTCTCGTTGCATTGCACGGGCCTGGAGCATCACCCTGGCTCGTGGGGACCCCACTGTGAGAGCCATGTAGGTAAGAAACTCTGTGAGCAGGGGACTCGCTTGCTAGGGCTGGTTCAGGTCAGTGCCCTCACAGCCTGGAGAGCCCGGAGAAGGCCGACAGCTCCAGCGAGCAGAGGATGCCGGGGGTCAGATCTGGAGATCTGTCGGGTAAAGCTGGCAAGTGTCGGCCGCAGTAGGTAATTCCAGGCCAATAGATCCACTGAGCAGGGCCAGCTTCAGCCCCAAATCAGCGCTGGAGACCAGCTGAGGGTGAGCATGCACACATGCAAGGAGCGTGACCTCCTCTGCCCCATCCCTCTCTGCCCTCCTGGCACGTACCTTGCCCCTCTGCTAGCCCAGGTGCCCATTTTCAGGCGGTTTGTTCCAACCTGACCCTGAAACGCCAGTCAGGGCTGCCCTTAATTAGTAAGAAATAAAGCCAAACAAACGGGAGCTGTCAGGAGACGGGATCCCTTGGGCAGAGAGCCAGGAGAAGCAGCTTTCTGTAGAAACAAGATCGCTCCAGACCCAGGAGGGACGCGGACACTGGCTCATTGTACCAGGGCATGGAGGAGGGCGATGCTGTTCTTTAGAGGACTGAAATACTCTGGGGACACAGGAGCCAGCTAAAACGCACTCAGAGCCTCAAAGAAGCAGGAGAGAGCATCAAGCTCTGCGTGTCCTCCTGGGAGAGAAGCCACAAGCACTAAAAAGGTGAAACGGCAAAGAAAGCAAGCAGCTTAGGAGTTCAAAGGGATGGACCTGTCCCTGCCTGCTGCCGTCCTCCTTGCTGCAAAATAAAGTCGGTCCCAGCTGGCAGACGTCAGCCTTCTCGTGCTAAACCAAGAGCACAGCCCGCCGGCGCGCCGTTTGGTGCCTCCCAGCAGCTGAGCAAGGGTTGTTCTCCCTTTTGCCTGCACCGTGCGTGGGAACTAGCAGATTTCAATGCATGGCTCCCCTTCATTTCAGCGAAGATTGAAGCATCTTGACAATTCCCCAGCAGGGACCTTCAGCAACGCCGTCAGGAGCGGCCTCCCAAAGGCTGGAGAGCCACGATCCTCTCCCAGGGACAGCCAGGACAGCCAGGACCGGCCGATACTCACACGGCAGACACCAACCCAGGCACAGTGCGATCCGCTTACCTTGTGTAACCGCCCGGGTCCCACGTGCCCAACCTCTCTTCTTAGGCTCCAAGAGCAGATTTCATCACTCTTGCATTAGCAGCCACGCTCAGATCAACATTTTAGCCTTAGATGGTTCAAAACCAGCCTCAGCTCCGCACGTTATTAATATTGCAACAGACTGACACGAATTCATCCCAGCTCTGGACACGGCGATCACTTGCTGCGCCTCTGTTTAGCAGCGACTTCAGCCCCCTTTGCTACAGCTTTCCCCTTGTGTTTTCCTCCCAGGCACCTTCTATTAAAACCAACCCCATGAAGTTCGACCCAGGGTGAGAAAGGAGGGAGGGGAGGAGAGAGCTGAGGTATTGGCGGGACGCAACACCCTTTTAAAGCTCTTCAGTCGCACTGGCATCCACATGGCACTTTCCCACCCCTAGAAGGTCTCCCTTGGGCTACAACCAAGACAAGTTTCAGCTCAGAGGAAAAATAATTAACACCAGAAAAGCAGGAAAGCAGGCACAGTCTGGTTTTAGCCGCTCATGGAAGCGCAAATGCAAAAGCATCACCTTGCTGCCAGCTCCTATTGCCTGCTCGCCGGGGAGGGCTGCACCGTTACAGGCACCCTCGTCCTCCCCTCGCTTCCCCGGGCAGAGGAGGTCTTGCAGCCCAGCTCAGGGCACACGTAGCTGGCCCACAGCATCCCTGTTGGGACGCTGGAGGAAGCGACGAGCAGGTCAAGACCTGGTCAGTGTTGTCCATGACTCCTGGGCTGAGATTGAGCCCAGGCGCAGGAGTTGGCTCCTGGCTTGTTTGCCCCTTCCCCCTCTCCCCCCGACCCAGGCAAAACGCGTCCCTGCTCTTGCCTGGGCTGGGGAATTCTCCAGCCAGGGTCCCCAGGCTGTGCTTGCTCCTTCGCAGCGGGGTGAAACCCTCACCAGGCGCAGCCCCTCTTCCCCACGCGCTCCTGCTGCATCCCAAGCCCTGCAGGAAAGATTTCAGCCTGAAGACACCAGGGCAGAGAGGATCAGCCAAAAGCAAAGCTCCAGCAGCCACCCGCTGTAGATGTGGGACCACACCGGCACGGGCAGGACGAATCCACCGCAGCAAACCGAGGAGCCTTACGGTGAAATGCGGGGTTCAGCTGGCTCCTCAGCCCAACGCCCGCGAACACAAACCCAGCGCCAGCCTGTCCGAGAGCCCAGGTCTGTCAACCCCCGTTTGAGCGAGTGATTTTATAGAGAAAACCCGCCACGTTACATCCTCCCTCTTATTCCTCTGTCCGTTAATAAAACATTTTGGTGTTTGAAAGAAAATTCTCTGGGTGTTTCTTATGAAGCAGCAGGGGGTCTGCGAAGCCTGCTAAATACTTCATCGCGTGTCAGCAGGTTCCTTTGGTAACCGCAGACCTCCAGCGAAGAGACAAGCGGTGTCCCCCCTGCGCAGAGTGAACTGGAAAGGTTCACAATCCTACGCCTGGCACGGAGCAGAGAACCCCCTGCAGCTTCACGCCACGTCACGCGCAACGGAAGGCTCTCACGTGGCGAGCTGCCAGCAGAGCCCACCGAGGCCAGCGCTTCAGAGTTGCACCCTTTAAACCTGCTCAGGAGGAGTGGTCTGGGCCTGCCTGTGCCTGCAGTCTTCAGGGGGTTAAAAAAGGCAAGTGGTTTTTTTTTTTACACACCTCACCCCTCAGATTAGCAGAGTATCGCTTTATAGTGATCTGCTCCAAACGGAAAGCTGGCCCTGTCTGTGAAAGCTGGCCCTATCTGGGGCAGCTCTATGGAGAGGGACCTGGGTGTCCTGGTGGATGACAGGTTGACCATGAGCCAGCAGCGTGCCCTGGCTGCCAAGAAGGCCAATGGGATCCTGGGGTGCATCAAGAGGAGTGTGGGCAGC